CTAATGAGGACACGACAACAATAGATACTGCCTTATTAGTATTCTTTATATAAAGAATACTAATTAGGAGTGTTTTATCAGGTTTAAAGCCACTGCACGTGACATGTTATAGTTTACATGATTTGCCAATAAGCTTATGAATTATTAATGATGTTTGAAATATGGGGTAATAGGCTTGACATGAGTATACTGGATTTGAGTAAATTGAGCATGCTCGTGAGCATACTGGATCTTGGCTGCCTCGAGATAGTCACCCAACTCTTTGTAAAAAAAACAGCGATACGCATATGACGAGTTTACAAGAAGTCCCTTCCCAGCAGCCCCTTCGTGCGTGCCTGCCTGCCTCATGTATTATAATTATTTTAAAGCGCCTGGGTACGAGCCTGAATGCTTCATGTATTATAATTATTTAAAGCGCCTGGGTACGAGGCAGGGAGTTTGGTATATATGTCATATGAGCATTTTTATTGGGAAAGTATTCAGTTTGTGTCGTAGTTGGTTCATTATAGATGCAAAATCATCCTAAACCTGATTCAAAACTCATTTTGCGGCCCAAGGAAGATTTTCGTGACATTTTTCAGCCCGGTTAACCGGGCTGGCCCGGTCCATGTAATCAGCCCCTTACTGTACTGTGCTACAACAACTGTCCAGGCAAGCATAAGTGATAAAAAACCAATATAAACTTTATAAACAAAAGATAATGTAAAACGTAACAGAACGTTGAACATGCAGATTCGGCCATCTCAAATAATGGTAATGTTGGGATAGTAGCGTTGCAGACTGCAGAGGAGAGTAGGCAGCAAGGCTCCCTTATGCTCCACCCCCATGGAAAACCTGCACACCTCCTTGCACATGAGGTTAGATCCGCCCATGCATCGAAATGGTGCATTATCCACGCATTTCACAAAGAATTTGCACCTTACACAAGTAAAAACGCATAAGTTGTTCCAGATCTGCAAAAAGGTTCTAACAGGTTGTTATCAAGCCTGGGAACTAGCTGTTATCATCTTGTTACAACGTTATTATCAACTTGTTAACAATTTGTCACGTACAGACTATATACCAGTCTTGTTGGAACAACTTTTGTGCGAGTCTGTTGGCCACATCAACCTTGTAACAAGATGACAACAACTTGTTCCAGAGTTGTCAACAACTTGTAACAAGCATTGCGAACACATCTTGTTCACAAGCTGTGAGATATTTACGCGTGTATGCTGGTAATGAACAAAAATTCTTACACTCTCCAATTGACAACTTGCATGTTAGACTAAATTTTAATCTAAGTAAAGAGAAGGGAATCAAACACCACAGTTAAAAAGAACATAATGAAATTAGTAAAATTGCGAAATTTGGTTGCGAAATGTTGTAAAATACGGAAAATATAGCCTTGCGAAGTTTGCATATTTTCAGTATATTTGTATTACGTGCGGAAATTGCTACCATTTTCGGCTCAAAAATGGTAACAATTTCCGAACGTAATACAAACATACTGAAAATATGCAAACTTCGCAAGGCTATATTTTCTGTATTTTACAACATTTTGTAACCAAATTTTGCAATTTTACTGATTTTGATAAGTTCTTTACGGGAATTTACTTTTTTTTGTCTAAATCAAAAATTAATCTAACATGCAAGTTGTCTATTATCCTCTGACATTGGTAACATCCACCGATCTCAAAGCTACGACTGAATAGTGACAATGAAGTCAATGGTCTGACCACCGCACATCTACAGTGACATGTTAGAAGAGATTCTTAAAGTTTCTGCATATCATTGGTATAAGAATAAAAAAAATATTGCCTATAGTCTATACAAAGAATTTGGTTATTTGCAAGCGCCGTTTTTGTCAACACGGACGTCACTAATGTACCGTAATTTGTACAATTTTTCAATAATATGTTCGTAAATTTATCAAAATTTTCCCTACAACTATTACTTTTCAATAAATTATGTACAATTGTTTGCTCAAATACATGTTTTTTAATTGTTAAAATTGTTAAACTTGCCCGACGAAACTGCAATAATACAATATTGGGGGTGTCCCCCCTCCCCAAATCCCCCTGTAGTTACGCCCTGGTTTTGTCGTATGCATGTGTTGAAAATTACCACAAACTGACACAAATACAGTTTTTAGCCCCCCCCCCCGTAATCTGCATGACAAAAACGTCGCTTGCTTAAGCCCACTACTATCTCGTGTTTAAAACGATCTAGAACTCATCAGAAGAGGAGTGGGAAGAAATATCTTTCAAGTTTCATAGAAGATACTTTCTTGATAGTATCATTAATTTAAACACGTCACAATTTGATTCGTAACGAATGAGACAGACTTAAAAATCTCTCCTCGTAAATATTCTGGCTTCAAAATTAATTCCCTGAATTCGAATGGTTGCTCTTTCCATTGTTAGATCTTGCGATCAGTGGTAATAAAATAACAGAAAGCATGTTCACTGTTACTCACAGTCGCTTCCTGTCCTATTGTTTTCTGCCCGAATCTACACGTTCTACCTTTTTCTTCTCAACATTTTCTGCCAGCATCGAGAGTTTCGCCATTTCAGAATGAAGTGACTGAATTTTGTCAGGAACGTAGTGTAACCGATTCTAGAATAGAAATCACATATGCAACACATAACAAGAAACAATTAAAACTAAAACCAACTTCTGCATTGACGAATTGAGTAATTTAACAATTCAACTAGGCACAATTAGTTGCCAGACTAATGATTCTGGAACAACACACGAGCTAGATGACATTGTGCGCCATAATATGCAGACAATCAATGGAAAGCGATTCTTTGACAATAATCCTATGACCACTGCCGTTATTTCTCTATAATCCTCAAGAACGTAATACCACTTGGCACTTACATAATCACCATACGTACATTTTAACTGTATATACAGTACATGCATGCAGGATGTATAAGAAAAGGTGATCAAATTTTGACAAGTTATCGTGTGTTAATTATTACGTTTATAGGTTTTCTATTTTCGTATTTATATAGATCAGGCTTTTTAGCTGTCATTTGACACCTTTATGGAATCATTGCGATACAAAATCACCAAATACCATCTGATTTAAAGTGGTTGGTTGAAACTGCATTTTTCCACTTTTAGGATTTAAGAGGCAGTCTCTGTAAGAACCTCATGACCTCTTTGGATCAACAAATAGATTTCTCTCAAACTTTGTAGTTGAGATTGCCTTTATAAGGGTTGTTTCAAAATGCATTTTGTTTTCAGTCTAATTGCATTTTGGCAAAGTTCCAGGGGGGTCAAGTTGAGGGCTAAAATTACGATTCTTGCTGTTCTCAATAGTGGATTTTTGCTGATTTTTAAACCTCTGTACATCAAACAAAAATAATCATAAAACTAAATCTTTCCAGACAATTGTAGCTTTATATGTCTTAAGTAACAAGGTATCTATAAATTTTTCAAATTTGTTTTCTAAATATAGAAATGACATCATTCATGATAGACTAAAATAGAAATTTCCAAGTTCCTTAAAAATGGGTGAAATAAAAACCCTAAAATTCAAAAGTTAGACTTGCTATGAATGTAATATTATTTGTATGGTGAGATTAAAGGTTGGTCTTACATAATATAAAATAAAATATTGCGGCCTGTAAATTTTGGAGGTACTACAGGCCAACAAAACATCAACATTTTCGACTTTCGGCAGTTTGGAGCAAATAAGAACGTTCATGTTTACTGTAAACTCTGCTTTGAAAGAGCAAAATTTTACATATTATTGGACCTAGAACAGTGATGAACATTCGTTTGACCTTTACTGTTGTCTAAAGTCTTTTAGGGAAAAGCACTGACACAGGCATTAACGGTATGTATGGACGTAATGGACCGTATTGTATAAAAAATAAACATTTTCTAGCTGAATATAATCAAGACAAGTTATACATTTGCATCATGTAAAGACGCCCGTTAGTAAACAAATTATCAAACATCGATTTATGTTGAAGATTTATTTAGAAAGTCAAGAGAAAACCTACCCCAATATAATTGATACAAAGTATGCCTCGATCATAGCCTTGTCATTCAATGACCCCGATTGTCAGTTGACTTATTATTTGACGTTCGTTAGCTTCCATTATTCTTTAGTGTTAATCACTTTCGATATCTTAATGATTATTGTAGACACAGTCTCGTATATAAATCGTGATTCTTCGTCAACAGGCAATGCTAGTCAATTCCTCCATCGTTTAAT